TTTTGGCAGGGAAAACTTCAGCTTACCTTGTCATTCTTATCAGAATACAAAGTGGCCTTCAGCTTCTTCCAACAACAGACATGAAATTCGACTATACAGTACTGACAACACACCATACGGATAAAACCCTGGAAAACAAGAGATAAAACCCTTCACTGGTTAACGAACATATATTGTACATGGCGTGAACAATAGACAAAAGCTTAAAGTGGAACTCCAAGCACAAAAATGACCACAGAAGATGTACATTGCAATTGTGCACACCATAAAGCAGGTCCATCCACTACAGGCTGTGTGCAGAAAACTATAGGAGAAGGGTGGATACAAGACCAGTCACCCTGCACAAGAAAAGATCAGGAGTGACTAGTCTTTCTTACAGGAAACTCCTGCTCAGAGACAAAATGCTGTTGCATGCTGGATTATTGCATATATTTGGAAGAAATACCCAAAGAACACCAAGCTTCCGTTAAGAATATACGGGCCTTTTCCGATTAGACATTTGTTTTGCCTGGAGTTCAGCATTAAGCCGGCCATACACCTTGCACTCTAAATAAACATTCTTTAGATCTAGCAACAATTATGTCATACGGGAGCCTACCCCACTAGATATGACTTGGATTCTTAAAGTAGAGCTTCTACGGACAGTTTTAGGAGAACTCAAGGAGATGAAATATAGATTGAACATTCAGATTGCAAAGACAGTTACAGTAAAGACACCAGAGGGCTGAATTGAGTAAAGCAGAGCAAAGGGCAGTAAAAATAAGCTAAGTACCATTTCCCACACCCAGCTACTCAGATTTTAGTCAATAAAACACCTACGACTAAGTGCCGCAGGACATTTTTTTTTTAATGAAAGGCCATAATTCTGCTTTAAATAGAAATAAAAATATTGGAACGCAACAAGAAAAAACCCCAAAAAACAGACATTAAACTACTTTACGCTAAACAATGAAAAAATAACTCCATATATACAAAACGAAAAATCACTTTTATTAATACTGTAACCTGTGGTCTATCTGGTATATCAGAATATAACTGGTCGATGGCATCTGCCATTATGTGGCAAAGGAGCTGCTGTGTTATCAGACACATTAACTATATTCACCTTGAAATCAGGGTCTGTAAAATAGATCTGAATTTTAGGCAAACTCAGACAATGCTGGAAGCGGCAAACAGCATCGGGTTTAGGTGGAAACCTGCATTCCTCTATGCAGTTATCCAAGAGAACCTGAAAAGAAAAAACAAAGACCCGAAGAACCATTACAGATACAAATCTACACAGTCTGTCGCTTAATTAGGTTGTAGCAGTGAGGATGCAAACATTGCATTATCGGTGTATGAGGAGATAGAAAACCCAAAAACACACATACAAAGGGCAATTTATGTATGTACAGGCCACTAAAACTACACCCAAAAGTTAAAAAATTCATAGATTTTAGTGGAACATCTAAGGGTTAAGATTGATGGACAACTGAAGAAATATTCTCTGTAATGCCAGTCAAGGTCATGGATTGCTGCAATGAACTGTGCAAACCACAGGGATGTACTGAAGTAGCCAAAAAAATATTTGGAATGCTGCAGTGGCATCACTATCAACTGCAGATGATTGTGCAAGCTTGATAGGGATCAATTACAGACGGCCGAGGCAGCTTACAATCAGCGGCCATGGCATGGTAAACAGGATTACATAAATGATAACAGAATCACTTGGTATCAGTGCTGCCATCTGATCACTGAGAATGAGCTATACGATCTCGGGCAGTCACTGTAAAGGTGCCCATACACTGCTTGATTCTCGTACGAGAATCGGGCGAAATCCTGCGATCGTACGAGAATCGAGCAGTGTGAACTAACAGGTGCGACCGTTTCTACTGTACGGTCGCACGTCTTTTGTCGAGCCAACATGTTCGAAAACCGGCCGAGAATCGTACGATTCTCGGCGGGTTTCTAGCCTGCTCGCCCGATAGCTGCGGAACGGGCCGGTGTGCGCACACTGCCCGTTCTGCATTGCCGTCATCGGAAGCCCGCCCCTCAGCGGGGCGGGCTTTCGATGATCGCAAGTACGATCTGCCCGTCCAAGGTGGGCAGATCGTAGGGCTTTCAAGAAGCATACGACCATCGCAAGACAAAAGTCTTGCGATGGTCGTAAGGTGTACGGGCACCTTTAGGACTCAGTATAGGAGCTTGTTAGCTCCTATAAGACAAGCATTCATTGTAAAGGTGTTTTCAGTATTACTTTCACAGTCAAGGTTGGGTGAAGGGTTGGGGTAAGGTAATGGCAAGTTTTAAGCTCACCACCCAACCTACAACTTGACTGTTGTTTGGATTAACCAACAACTATGAAGTACGGGGGGGTCTGTCAATTGGATAGTTTAGATCTTTTCTTGGGTTCTCATATTGCATCGTTTTGGTATATCTAAAGTTAGATTGTAACACGATTGGGGGCAGGGGCGTATCTGCCGCGAGGCAAACAAGGCGTTTGCCTGGAGCGGCAGATTCCCTGAGAGCGGCGTTGCTGTGGCTCTCTCCCCTTGATAAATTTAATTTATCAGGGGAAGTGAACCGGAGGCTATAGTAGCGCCGGGGATGAGGACGGCTGGCGGGGACGGCGTGCTGCGGTGGTGTCCAGAAGGCAGCGGACGGCGGCGCTTTGAATGCCAGGTGAGTGATTGTCTGGCAGATGGGGCCTGCTGATGGTGACGATCGGCCTCAGTGCGGGGTGGGGGGGCTTTGGTGCGTTGCTGTTTTGCCTAGGGCAGCAGCATTTGTAAATACACCGCTGATTGGGGGGGCTTTAGGGACTGCAAGTACGCAAACAAGAACCAGCAACTTTTACATTACTGGGCTGACAATTTCATTACAATTGCCAATGTAGTTTAACCATGACAGCCGAGTTTTATCTGAGTTCAAAAGTCATCAAGTTTAATTAAAAACTATTACTTTATTTTTTGTTTTGGCTAAAGACACAAAGTCTTAGATTGTTCGAAGTAGTTCGAAGTAGTTGCAAGGAACAAAGGCAGTGAAAAGCATATTACTTTTACAAGATTTACTGCATTGTACAGCCTAGTAATCAGTCACTTACTTCCAATTTTTCTGGCCTGGTCTCTTCAATGACAATAGATGTTGTTGGCCAAGTTAGCACTCCTGGAACCATCTTGTGTGTCAGCATGGTCTTAGACTTCACATATTGCATTAAAGCATCAGAAAACCTAAAGGAAATAAATAATTGGAATAATGAGCAGTTAATCTTTTCAGTTTGAAGAACACATATCTAAATGTGATTGCACTGCTGGAGAGACAAATGTAATAAGGAAAGGATAAGCACCCCAAGGTGCTTAGCGTTCCGCTAACCCAAAACTGGCACTCAGGAGCGGTTTCCTTTAATGTATTCACTTAAAAAATAATAAGATTTTTGTACTCGCAGTAAAATCCTTTACTTGGACTCCACTGAGGAACGCAGGAAGTCTTCATCTCCAAATGATATAACCTACTACCAGCCTGCCTCAGTTTTGTAGCAAAGCATCATCAAGAGCATGATCATAAATACAGAGGGGTGGGACCTGTGTCCCTCAATGGACTCCAAGAAAAGGATTTTCCTATTACCTTTCTCATCCTGTGAGGGGCACAAAGTCTTTAATCTATAGGATGTTCAAAAGCAGTCCAACTGAGGGGTGGGCAAAATAGCAAACGCTAACAGGCCACAGAAAACAGATAACTGGGGCCTATCTAAAGCTGAAAGGGCCACCTCAAGGACCTTACACCCAAAGCCAGCATCATCCACCTTGTACAACTTAGAGAACGTGTGAACAGAAGACCACACGGCAAAGGAAGACTTCCCAAACTCCAGAGCTGGACTTCTGAGCCACTGTGCCAGGAACAACCTGACTATGTGATAAACTAATCGGTCCAGAGACCACAGCGACTTGCCCCATGATGACATAATGTTGTGTTGCAGATCTCTTGACTAAAACTAGGCAAAGGGGCCTGCTACTATCAGGCTCAGGACTCCCATGCAAATGCAGGGAATTGGACCGCTCCTGGACCGAGTATGAACCAGAGACCTGAGAGTCCGAAGTTTCACCTGTGTAAAACACACGCTCGCCTGAACTGTGCCCAGGACAAGTCTCAGATACGCCAAATGATGAGCAAGTTCCAGCAAGGATTTGCGAAGGTTCAGGATCTTTCCAAACCACTGTAACACCTTGAGGCTAGGTTCACACGCCGCGCAATATTGTGCAAAACACAGATTTGGATTTAAGTCAAGGGAGGCTGTTCACAACTTTGTGGTTTGTTGCGCGGACAAAATCGCCTGTCGCGCGAAAAGGTGCAGGAGCTATTTTTAAGCGGTTGTCGCGCGGTTTGGGTCCCATAGACATCTCTATGCATTGACAACCGCACGATTTTCAAAGAACCGGCCCGCGCGTGAAAACAGCTCACCATCTAAATCGTCTAGGTGTGAATCTAGCCTGACAGTCAAACACAGAGCCTGTGCTGAGTTCTCAACAGAAGGTCATCGAAGTATCCCACAACAGAGATGACATGAGAGTGCAGCTGGGATAACATTGGGGGCAGCTACTTGGTGAATACTCTGGGTCTCAGGCTGCAGCCCCAGAACTGTTAGTAAAATGTGAGCTAGGAGAACCGGGTACTTCAGGACTAGTGATGGGCTCGGGCGTGTTCGCAGCTCCATGTGCCGAGCCCGCCAGGAAGCTGACAGCGCAGCAGCGCCAATCACAGGTACTGAGACATGTTCCCGGTCCGCAGCTGCAGAGATCGGTAAATGTCTCAGTGCCTGTGATTGGTGCTGCGCGCTGTCAGCTTCCTGGCGGGCTCGGCACGTGGAGCTGCGAACATGCCCGAGCACATCACTATTCAGGACTAACAACCAATCCCCCTAAGTCTAGAAGCACATGTGAGCATCGGCAAATCTAAAACATTTATTTTCTTACCGGTTTTGCTTAAGATAAACATTGCCAATTCCATAGAAAGCCAAACAATTAAATCTTTCTTTGGAGTGCTGGTGGATAATTTCCTTGAAGCGGTTTTCCGCCCTTTCCAATTCCTAAAGAAAACAAGAACGCAGAAATCAGGGTTGGTGTACATATGAAGAATACAGAATTCCCTGTGTAAGGTGTATACATATTCAATTTTATCAATGTACATTGTGGGAGCATGAGCTTCAAGTATGTTGGAAGACCAGTTATCCCAGTTGCTGTTAAAATGTATCTAAAGTCATTTTTTAAGTTTGTAACAGATTAGTAAAGGGTTGGGATGGCCATAACATAAGATATTTTTTGTTCAGCCTGCAAAATAAACAGCACGGAGAGACGAATCTCCCGCTGCCAGCTATGGTATTCAGTCACTACAACAGCACACTGGACAGGACCTGCATCTGATTGGATGCAAACATTGCAAGTCGAAAAGTTTTGGCCTCAAAATTTGAAGCATGCATGACCAGCATTAAAGACTTTGTCAGGTTTTTATTGCCATTTAGGTCCCTGCTGGGAGATTAACCCCACTGCGTGTCCGAGTGACTTCTTAACAATAATAATGGTCATCATGTGAAAATTATGATTTTTGATCAATCATGAGAAAAGCACATTTTCCAGTGGGGACACTTGTTCCGGCGACAAATGTGTAAGATGCATCTTCCTCGCTTCGAGAGATCTGCTCTCACTTTCTGTTGTACCTACTTGGCAAGTGAAGGGAAATCTGGAAAAACAGGATGCAAATGGGAAAAATAAGAATCCCTGATGGGTTTTCACTAGGGATGCACCAATACTAGTATCAGTGCCAAGTATTTGGGCAAGTACTTTATGGACAACAAATGGAAAAACCTAAAACTGATGTGGAAATTCAATGAAATTAGCTATACACATAAAGGTGGGCAAGTATTCAGATCCATGCTGGTGATCATGGCCTCTAGGGAGCACTGACAAACTTCCCAGTTTAAGGTCTATACATATTACATTTTATAAAGGTACATTGTGGGAGCATGACGTTCCAGTATGTAGGAAGACCAGTTATCCCAGTTGCTATTAAAGTCATTTTTTAAAGTTTGTAACAGATTAGTAAGGGGTAAGGCTGGCCATACAATAAGATTTTTTTTTTTTCAGCCTGTGCACAAAGCAGCATGGGTAGAAGAATCTCCCACTGCCAGTTATGCCATGGAACAGCTGCTGCTCAAAAAAAAACTTCAAACTGATGTGGTAATTCAATAATATTAAGTATACACATAAGATGGGCAAAAGCATTAAGATCTAAATAGATGAAGAAACATGCTGGCGATTATGGCCTGTAGGGAGCAATGACCAATTGGATTACTAGCTGGTAACCGCAGTGAAATTGTCAGCTTGCTCTAACCCCCCCCCTATATGCACCTCATCTGCACTACCTCGCAGCTCAATACTCCTCTGCTGCCGGTAAGAATACTCAGCAATTCCGGGTATGGAGGAGCATGTGACCTGCTTCCATTAGGCCTCAGTCACACGAGTAACTTCCGGCTCGTACAGATCCGTGCTGCGTGCACGGCCGTATCGGGCAGCTCCCGGGAAGGGCAGGTGCTGCGTGTGATATATACGCAGCAGCCTGTTCTTCTCTATAGGAGTACGCAGCCGTACACCACTCTACGCTCATCCGTACTGCACGTCTGTGCGGGCGTCCCTGCTCAGACGCAGACAGGATCCATCCTGTCAGCATACGAGTATGGACACCCGCACAGACGTGCAGTTCGGATGAGCGTAGAGTGGTGTACGGCCGTGTACTCCCATAGAGAAGAACAGGCTGCTGCGTATAAATCATGCACGTGCGGGCGTCCCTGCTCAGGCAGGATCCATCCTGTCAGCGTACGAGTATGGACGTGTACTACCATAGAGAAGAACAGGCTGCTGCGTATAAATCACACGCAGCACCTGTCCTTCCTGGGAGCTGCCCGATAGCTAGTTCCTGGCACTTTTACATGATGGGGTCAGTGACGTCACCACTCCCCAGGGTCATGGACAGCAGATTTCAATGCCAGCTACAGAAGAGCAAGGAGCTGTGAGAGTGCAGTTAGGAAAAGTATATAAGGGTCGGGAGATTCCCTTTGCAAGAATGCTGTCAATTTTCCCTGCATAGGCAAGATAAGTTTCTCTTGAAGGGCTCCATGCTGTAACCTAGTCTGCATTTGGCCTGCCAATGACATGTTGTAGGTTTCTCAGTTATATCATCTGTCATCTCTGACCTGTTTCTGCAGAAATGTATTAGGTAAGTGGAACAACCTGGATATGTCCTGTAACTCAACCAAAAAAATATGTATTGCCAATAAAAGTACATGTATAACTTAATCTAAGTTTTTAAATAATATACACACACTATATTGCAAAAAGGTTTGTGAAAATCTGACATATCTACATGAGCATGTAAGGCATCCCATTTCAAAACCATAATCATTTTTATGAAGTTGGACCCCCACCTTCACCACAATAACAGCCTCCATTCTTCTGCAAAGGCTTTCAAAAGATTGTGGAGTTTCAGTGGGAACAAATCAACATCAATAATTTGGGGTGTCCACATACTATTGGCAATATAGTAGATGTGATAGTCAGGTGCCCACAGACTTTTGGCCACATGAGATGGAAAAAGACAGGCAGAGGGTGTGAGAGAGAGAGAGAGGGTGAGAGAGAGAGGGTGAGAGAGAGAGGGTGAGAGAGAGAGAGGGTGAGAGAGAGAGAGAGAGAGAGAGAGAAGGAGAGAGAGGAGAGGAGAGAGAGGAGAGAGAGTTTCTGCTTCATGATGTCATTTTTACATTGCAGCCGCCAGACTTTATTTACATCATTTACCATACTCTTCCTAATGCCAAGTAGAGCATTTGCATGTCCATACAAGAGAACAACGTGATCCATCTTTGTAAGACGTAGGCTCTGGGGGGGAAAAAAAAAATACAAATTTCACATCATTCAACCCTCAAATCAGGTCTAAAAGATAAGGTACTTGGAAAAGTTCTAAGCAGCTAGCATGTTGCAGGTATGTAAAGCTGAACTGATCCAGATCCATTATTTTGCATACTTCCGTTGGCCCAATGTAAGTCTGCATATGCCTTACCTGACTGGCCACTGGGGATATTGTAATACACTGTAGCAGTTGGAGCTACTACAGTGGGGGCCGCAGTCTTAGGGTCCTATATGGCACTGTGCTGAGCGGCTTCCTTTCTGCTGTGAAATTACAGGGGATCGCTGGCTCAGCACTTATCAATGAATACAAAGTGTTCTCTAAATCGACGAGTGGTTGTGAAGGCCTGATGTGCCTCTCATTCAACCAGAGAATGCCTTTTATTCATTGATACATTTACCCAGATGTTCAATGAATGGCCGCTGGGCCAAGCGAGGTTTTCAAAGCATGCCTTCTGTGTAAATCTCCGGACAGACAGAAATACAAATCGTTTGCCAGGTAAAATGACACCAGCCATATATGCTTTTTAACTGTGAATTCAGAGATTGTCTGAAGTATAGCTTTAAATGTATTCACATGAGAAATGGATGCAGTGCCACAGCAATTATTGTATGGAGAAAAACAAAGAAACAATAGATGAAATGGATGGTATTTTACCTTGATATCATGCTGGCTGAATATTTCTAGCACCCGGGAGAGGATTCCCTCCGCACTGTGACATCGCTTGTCAGAGAGAGCTTCATATGCTTCACGCACAAGGGAATTCACCATATTAGACACTGAAGGCAGATCCAGCTACAGAATATACAAATGTTAGTAAATCATAGCCATTGCCTAATTTTACAACGAAATACATTCGTTAAAAAATATCAAGCTGGAAAACTGCTCTCTATATGGTGGTTTTGCAGAATTTATGCAAAAAATAGACAATTGAGTTACTAACCCCAGAGTTCAATCCATCACACACAGGCTGCCAAAAAACATGCAGGCAGCGCTAGTGTTGGCAAGTCTAGCATAGTTGGCAAACTGAATCACAAGTATTGCTATTGATTTTATATGTGAAAGGATAAGTGCACTTTAAAACAGTGTACTTATCATTTTTGCCCCCCATCCCTGACCTAATTGATCCCACCTTCCCTCTCCACATATCCGTACTCGCCGACGGTCACAGTTCAGCTATTGTATGCATCCAGCACTGCAGTGCTCCCTCTGCTGGCCACACCTGCACATTGCAGCCCCTATAGACTTCTATAGGGCTGTGTCCAAGGCATTAGACGGACGTTGCTAAGAGGGGGAGACTTGCAGAGCTGGACAACAAACAGTGGAGCAGCGGCTCTCGGATCTTGCCAAGTATTGATCTGTGGAGAGTCAAGGTGGGATTGTTTAGGTGAGGGCAAAAACTAAAGTGCACTTTGTACAAAACTGCACATATTCTTTAAATACGGATTCAAAAAGAAATGATAAAAAAGTGTAGCCCAAGTTAAATAAAAAAAGTGGATGGGGCCTGTCCCAGGCTGGCTTATAGACAACATTGTTCAGTCTACTCTTTGACAGCATGAGACTACAGGAAGTGTTTTGGAGGATCACAACAAAGTGTGCAGGACACACAGTGAAGAGAGCCTGCCTCCAGGAAGTTCTTCATCACTACGCAATCCAACGGCTGCCTAAAATCCTTTAAAGCTTTTCTTTCCAAATCTTTCAGTTAACTTTTAAGTGACCACATAAGTCTGTGGTGGCCACTGAGAATGCTCATTTCCAAAGTGTGTGCTCCACAGCTTCAACATTCCACTCATGCAAGACCTCACGACCACAAGAGTTAAGACTTGGTCTGCTGAAATATTATTTGGCAAAGAGAATATAGAGTACTGCAATGAATGAGGCTGTGCGAGCTGGCGGAGTGTGCTTGAGATCACGAGATACTTGACCTGCCTCAAGAGCTGTTAAATGTTCTTAGTTAGACTTCCAATTTATTATGCACATTCTATTTTTTTGCCGGGTTTACTCCCAATTGCTAACATGAGCGAGACCACCGGCGTCCGCTCAAGAACGGGAACTTTTAGGTCTTACTCAAGAGGGTGTTCTTGATACTGCACTTAAAGCAAGAACTTTATTCAACCCCTAAGCCCCCTCAGAACTATTCTTTTTTAAACACATCCCATTTTTTTTCTGCAGTTTTCAAGATGCCTTGTTGACATCAAGAGTCCTTCCTCCACTTTGATGACATCAAGGGTCCTTCCTCCACTTTGATGACATCAAGGGTCCTTCCTCCACTTTGATGACATCAAGGGTCCTTCCTCCACTTTGATGACATCAAGGGTCCTTCCTCCACTTTGATGACAGTGGTAGGTGGTTCTCCCTCCTGGACTGAGTGGTGCTCATTTAGTGGTGTATGACATCGCTCAGTCCAGAAGTACTGTGAGCCCAGGCTGCGTGATGAGAGGGGCATGACAGACTGGGTTCACAGAAATAGGGTTGATGATGCTAAAGGCTAGCAACATCTAGTGGCAGTGAAGTAGTACTGTGTCTGACAGCTCAGGGTTGAAGGCGAGTATTACAACAAAAGCAGCTGTTTTTTTTTAACATTTGTTTTACAGATATAAAGCAACATTTGGACCAGATCCTAGGGTTCTAATAATAAACCTTACGGATGAAAATGGACAAATTATAAAGTGAGCTAGCCTTTTAAAGAACCTTAACAGTGACAGATAGGACAACCTACCTGTGCATGGGTAGGAGATAAAATCTTCTGGGCTTCCTTGGAGTCATTTTTTGTATTGGTACCCCTGAAGTGAATGTAAAAAGGAAAAAAAAAAAAAAAGTTACCATACAGCACGGAATTACAAAATAGTATTGTGCAGTCACAATTGGAATAGTAGAAGGGATCATTTAGGTCCTTGAATTTCTAACTGACAGCAAAACTGAACACTTTCTTCTACATACAGTAGCTCTAGAAACACAGAGGGGACTATTTAGAAATACCACCAACATGACTTCCTCGTTACATTTCACTGCAATTTTTGTTACCAATCACTGCAAAACCCTCCCAACCCACCCCCAGGTTCTGTACCACCAGATCCCTAGCAGACGTAGAGGGGAAATTGGGACTTCTGGCTACTAGGGAAAATGTGAGTTCACCCAATGTGGCAATACTCAGGCCTGAGCAGCCAATCACCAGGCCCAAAGTCTTTGCAGAGGTTGTGTTGTCACCCCTTAACCCCTTCATGACTGAGGCCCTTTTTTCATTTTTTGCACCCATGTTATATTCCACATTTTAGGCCTGAAAATGACTTAAAACCCCCCAACATTATATGTTTTCTGAATGCCAAGACCCTATAGAATAAAATGGTGGTAGTTGCAAATTTTTATGTTGCGCAATATTAGCGCAACTTCTTATTAAACCCCAACATTTAGTGAAAAATTTAATTTAATGCCCCAAAACACAACAAAATACAAATTTTTTAAATGACATATAAAAGATGAGGTTACAACGAGTAAAACGATACCCAACATGCATAGGTTACAAATTGCGTGCGTCCGTGAAACGGTGAAAAACTGCAGTACCCCAAAAAGTCAATAGAAGACGCTTTAAAAGCCCCCACAGGTCATCAATTTAGAGATACCCCAAAATACTGGCCCTAGAATTATTGCTCTCACTCCGGCGTGCGCGGCGATACCCAACATGTGTAGCGCGTTCGTCGTTTTCATGCGTAGGCGCACCCGACGCGTGTTTACGTGGCGACGCGCGTGCTCGCGGGGGCGGGGTACTTTTAAAATTTTTTTTTATTATTATTAGATTTATTTTATTTCATTTTAATTTTAAAAACTGTTTTTTTTTTTTTTTTTACTTTACTTTGACTGCTATCACATGGGGGGGCTTGCAAGCCCCCCCATGTAATAGCAGATGGTGGTGACAGGTCCTCTTTAAGGTGATGCTGGGGGTCCAAAAGACCCTCAGTGTCACCTTTACACTGGAAATAAGCTATTGAAGTGCAGATCGCACTTCAATAGCTTATAGCTGGGCTGCAGGAGCCCAGAACTGACAGCCCAGGGACCGGAAGTGATGCAATCTGCATCGCTCCCGGTCCCATAGAACGGGGAGGGGATCGATGAACGGAAGTTCGTCGACCTCCTCCCCAGCTCCCCGCGGACACAAAGATCGCCGGTCCCGGGCCCGTAGGAGGGGCAACGGAGCCCGGGAAGCACGGCGGGGGTGTCCGGGGGGGGGGGCGGCCCCTTCTTCGGGACGCAGAAGCGATCTGGTGACAGGTAAGTCGCCAGGATCGCTTCTGTTGTAAAGCCGACAGTCGGCTCTACAAGTTTAAACAGACTCCCGGCGGCAAAAGTCGCCGGGAGTCTGTTTAAATAGCCCCGATGCTGGCGACGTACACTGTACGTCGTCAGTCACGAAGGGGTTAAGTAACACCAGAGTTTATAGGCTGGGATCCTGCAGCAGGGAGGCAGATTGGGGGGGTGGTCTTTGTGTAGACACCGTTACATTTGCCCGGTCTCTGGCCAAAGCGATAGTGTCTCTTTAATGTCTACCTGTAGCTTGCCAACATATTCACAGGTTTTCTTTCCAAATCTAGTCTTCAAAGGAAACAAATGCACTTAGTCACCAGTCACTCCAAGACATTCTATTGTATAACAGCATGCATGCCAATACTTTGGGTCCTTGCAGTGTCACTTTATCAAGGAAACCCTAACAGTAATAACTAGGGATACACAGATACCGTTTTTTCGGTATCGAGTACCTCTTTTTTTTTTTTTAGGTACTCGCCGATACCGAAAGTCCCAATAAGGAAGCCGGGGGGCGTGTAATGACTTCCCAATTACCCCGGAAGCCATCTTCATGCTCCCTTGTCACCAAGTGACGAGGAAGCATGGAGCCAGCTTTCTGGCCAATCAGGAAGCCGGGCAGCGTGTAATGACTCGCTGCCTGGCTTCCCGATACCGGAAATTCCGCTTTCTGGAGTATTTGGGCAAGGAGAAGTACCCGCCCAAATACTCAGCATCAGCACAGATACTAGTATCGGTGCATCCCTAATAATAACTAAAATGGTAGCAACCTTTGATCACTCTACATTTATTGAATTCTCCATTGGTGCCTCCCATCACTTCAAGCACCTACTAACATGGCTAAAGGCCGTGCAGCACACATAAGGACTTTTCAATTGGAAACAATACGGTTTTGTTTCCAAGTTGATAATTGCAGCTTGGCATGTTTTTTTTCCAAATGCTCAGGATAGCCATCTACACACATTTCTACTCACTTGAATTTTTCACTTGAGTCACAGTTTTTTCCTTTGGATTTCCCTTTCTTCTGTTGCGGCGCTGCAATGAAAGCCAAAAAGATATGGTTAGCTGGCATTAGTGGAATGGAGATTCATTCTTAGGTCACGGCTAAATGACCTCGGCAAAATCTGAAAACACTCAGTAGATTGTTTAGGATTATCCACGTCCCCAGCTTCCCCCCTTCTCGTCCCCAGCTTTCAACTCCCTGATCCCACACTCTCCTCTCACATGTCCCCTTCATAATCTCAGCTCCCTATAACTCCCTCTTCATGTCAACAGCACGCCTCTGACACTCAGGGAGTTGGAGCTTTCCATAGAACGCAGGCAGTTCTACGGTTGGCAGCTGTTCTGTGTGATGAGGGGGCGGGGCTAACCCGCTTCCTACTCATTGGCTGCTGCGGCGGCTCGATCATTCTTCCGGAACAAGGTGAGAGGGAGCAGCGTGAAGCACGAAGGGCCCAGGACAGGAGGAAGAGACCCCGTACTGATATTAGCGGTTACCGGGATAATAAATATCCTGGTAATCAGCGGTTACTACAGGCCCCGTCCTAGGCCCCCTCCAAGTGGCGGAACACCAGTGCCCGGTCGCAGCTGCGACCTCTGCGACCCTGGTAGTTCCGCCACTGGGATTAACACACATTTACATAGCTCTCCTTTGCCTGCTGGATCTGTCCCAGCAATTAATTCATCTACCAAAAGCACGGCAAAAGCAAAAGGGAAGGGCTACAGATACACAGACGTTAGAATCCCAAAGTTCATTGTGTTAAGGAAAGATAGATATTATACAAGTTTGTTTCTTCAAGAGACCCAATCAGTAGAAATGTTGCATTTACATTCCAATAAAAAAAAGTTTCAGCGTGTTCCAGGAAACCAGAACTCCCCATTTACTTTTTGCAACACTAGAGGTCAGTCATAGTAATCTAAAACAGAGCATTCTCTCTAATATCACATTGCCAATAGGATGGTGAGAAATCTGAATTCTACTAACCAGAGGAACTTTCTGAGCTATCTTCACTTCCCGCATTAGATGTATTAGGGGTCTCCTAGACAAAAAGAAATGGAGAAAAATAAACTCATTTTCTAACAAACATTCTTTTCATTAGGAACACACCGTGCAAATATACAAATACATTATTGATCCCTATTGTGAAAGAGTGGCTCCCTTATTACATTGGAACAGATGATTGTGTAGAATTCTTAAAAGGAGAACTATGAGGTGAGTGCTTTTCACTCACTTCATAGTTCTAGCCGACCTGTGACAATGAGACTGTCACAGGTCGGCTCAGTAGATCGGGAGGTGAGCAAACACATACCGGGTTCGCTCACCTCTCGATCCTATCACGGCTCTCTGCCATGACAGGGGGAGGGGCTGGATTCCCCTCTCCCCGCTCCGATCTGCCAGCACTGACTGGCGGAACGGATGGGGGAGGGGGCGGGTACAGCTGGCTCTGCCTCTAGATAGAGCCAGCTGTCACTCATGCAGCTGGGCGGATCCCGTCGTCTAAGTCGGGATCCGCTCCGGCTGTGGCGTCTCAGTATACCGCGAGCTGTAGCTCGCGGTATACTGAGCTTAGGGTGACGGGAGGACGCTAGTTTGTGTCCTCCCGCTACCCTAAGGAGAACTATGGGGAAAAACACTGACCCCATAGTTCTCCTTTAAGTCACAGATACAAATGTGGTGGGTGATCAGCAGTACCCACCAGAAAATAAAATGATCTTGCTAGCTTTACTATGAAAGTGTATCTAAACCCAAGAACAAAAAAGGAGCTGCACTCCTCCTCCATTACTTTTACCCGCCAACAACACACTTCCTGTCCTAGGGTGACAACACTCACTCACTGTACTACCTATGGCGGAGCAACATTGTCACCTTATAAAAAGGACTACAAAACGTCCCTGAAGCCATCACACTCCTGACCGCTTGTTCCATATAAATTGGATGGGTGTCGACGGATGACAACCGTTATGTACACAGGTGAAGATAGAAACACTGGCACTCCAGATGCAGATCAAATGAGTCCATTGACGTAAATGCAGCATATCACACTGGCGCAACGTTTCGGGGTCTCGCAGGATCCTCTTTCTCAGACAAATGTGTTCTTAAAAAAAAACAGACCTAAAAAGGAAAAAATTGTTAAAGTTCCCATACACCTGTATTGAGGACTGGTCAACTATCCTATAAAAACACGGCTGTACTGATCGCATATACGATACATATAGGCGTTCCCTAAAGACTCAATCTCTTCAGGGAAGCCTATCCCACCTCAGCCTAACCACTGAACCATCACGTTCTCAAACAATTCATCCCCACACAGCTACCTCCTCATGTATCATTTCCCCCTCATCTTTTAGATTGTAAGCCCTCAGGACAAGAACCCACATGCAGGCTCTCTTCACCATGCCTGTTTGTATCTGAAACCCAACTGCCTGCAGACGAGCCTCTCCTACTGCAAATACCCTTCCTGCAGGAATGTCTTGACATATCCAACCAAAGCCACAACACGTCTGGCAAACATTTCTTAAAACTCAAGCCTGCCTCTCCCCCGATTGTACAGAAAATATCCTTGAACCAACGCCAATGTTGTTTCAACAGAGCATAAAAGCAAAGCCAAACGATTTATTTGCATCACATTCAAAGCGCTTATTCAAATGTCATGGAAACTCTCATGCCTTCAGTGCTACATTCGGTCCCCTGACCTTACTGCACCCCAAAAAAGTGACATCAGAGTACTCCCTGTATTATTGAGCCTTTGCCGCAGACTCTCCACTGACCCGCAGTCAGTCAATCAGCTGTTTTAAAGTCACCTATCATTAACTATTCATGAATACATTCCTAATATGTCATAAAACAGAGCAAAATAAACAAGAAAGCTGTCCCTTCTATGACGGAAAAGCAGTTCATAAGCTTCAGGTTTGTGCCCCCACTGCAGTGCCTATATCTTACTGCTGCAGTTTTGGACTTTCCATAAAAGCCAATAAAACAGGGCTAGATGTGTTGAAAATGAAAGAAAGAAGGGGATTTCCCCAAATTTTGTCTGCTTCAGTTTTTATGAACCCCCCCCCCATAATGTTTTACTATAATGGTCCTTTAGCTTTATAGAATGTTGAGTAGGGCACCCAATAAGAAATATTTGTACCTTTGGTGCATTTTCGTCCATTGAAGTGGTTTGAATAACTTTACTTTCTGAAGCCGATACAACCTGTGTGTCAATTCTACAGAAAAAAGAAAAATTGTTTAATTAGATCAAAAGTGGAAAAACACTGTGTTCCCTTAAGGGCTAGTTCACACCAAGCGCGTTCCAGGAGCAGAGCAGTTACAGACCGGATCAAAACTGCGTCCAATGTATTCCAATATTATTTTGGGCTCTAGTTCACACCGCAGCGTTCAGTTCCAAAGCATGTAAAAAAACGTCAGCGAGCCCTATTTTTCCTGCTATGGAATGCATCAAAAACGCATGCAAACACCCTGTGCTAAAAATTTACAAAAACAGCGTGTAGCGCATCAAAAACGCGGCACAACCCACTGCACTGCGTGTGCAGAAACTCATGCAGATCTGGTCTGCATTTGGTGTGAACAAATGCAGACCATTAGCCCATGACACACAACTAAAGTGAACCTCTGAAGATAGAAGTATGAGGGGGGGGGGGGGGGGAGGTTGCCCCCGTTGAGGGAA